TAACCTCCTTGTGGTTCGACCCCGGTCTTGCCGGGTTATTTATTACTTCGACACTCCTGCACTTGGGAGAAGACATCAATATTTTAGTCATGTCAACTCCTTTATCTAATAAGGTTGTGAACTCTGAAGACTGAGTGCATGGGATCGAATATGAGCACCTAACAGTTGAATCACTATGGGTTGTTCCCAAGTTCTTAATTGTAGTGTTAGAGAGTCCATATACCGATTTTTACCGGGTCCACCAAATGATCCTGCCTCTAACCACAAATCCAAATTGAAATCAAGGTGAGTTGAAGGATTCTCCCTGTGTTTCTTCTTTAACTAGCTATTTTATATCTCTTGAAAATAAAAAAAAATTAAATAATCAAATTTAAAAAAATAATAACTTAAGATAAAAAATAGGTTGAAAACCAATGTATCAAAAAGTGTTGAGCTCCCCATGTATGTTTTCATAAAAAAATTGTATTAGGCTTGGCTCACATCTAAGATTCTTAACTTGTAAGATAAAAATATTATCAGTTAAATATATTTATAAATAACAATAAATTAAAAAAATAGATGTGATTAAAATAAATCTTACCATCTGCTTCGCATGCGAAATGAATGGGACAGAGCCGCCGGTGTACGTGGTAATGGAAATGTGAATTTGTTGGCTCCGGTTCCTCGCACTAGACTATGACTATTGTGTGAAACAACGAGCGTCATGTGTTGCATGTATTCCATCCATATGTTTTTCGAGATGTATAACAGTTTGAAATCTTTTTGAACTACCACGTCATTTCAACCTAGTAGAGCACTTTCTTTTGCATATTTTTTAGACTTCTTTTGCACCTTATACACAAAATCACGCAACTTATATGGTACAAATGTATTATCAATAAGTAAATGAAAAAGAAAATTTAATATTTGGAATTAAAAAACATATCCTAATTTGGATGTTACCTAGTTGCAACGTAATTCTCTCAGACCATTCTCGCAACATTATCATTGGCTCTATCCCAATCATATTTAGCTTTGCAATAAAAAATTATTAAAAAAATCAATAATTTCAATAAAGTAAACAAATTAACATAATAAATAATAAAAATTTTAAGTTAATGCTAACATTAAATCTTGTAAACCATGCATTGACATGCGGTTTCCATTCAAGATGTTTAGAAACCTAACGTCATTGAAATAATAAAATTTCCATCAATGATTTAAATGCCGATGTTATTATTTGGGCAGCCTTAATGTTTGTAAACTTGAAAAAAGATAAATTTAATGAAATATTATTTCTTCATAAATTTTTAAACATAAACCAACTCAAAGCAAAGCAAACTTACTTTTTTTTTTAATATTATCGATATTTTTCAAATAAGAAAAAACATAAGTTGGGCAATGTAAAAAATACCCTTAAAATATTTAACCAATGATTCAATTTAAAAAATTGATATATTTTGGAGTAATTAAATTATTTAAAACTTTTAATACTTGATGTTTTTTTTTTCCTAGTCTTTTTTGAGTTTTGATCGTCAAAATAAAATACCATCATAGTATTATATGGTTTAGAACTGATTTAAGTAGATTATTTTAAGTTATTTAAAATTTTATGTGGTGTGTAAATAAAATATAATAAAATAGGGATTATCCTATATTTTAGAAAAAATAGCCTATGTTTTAAGAATTAATAATTTTCGTTTTAAAAATCTTATCCATAGTGGTATTTTCCTTAATATGAGGTGAGATTGGATTTACTTACTGGTATTAGTGGTATACTATAATCATATAATAATTAATCAAAAGTTTTTGAGTTTGTACCTTTGACATATGAACTAGTTTCTTGGCACATGCTTCACATTGTTTTATTTAACTAATTTATTACATCTTTTCTAATTCCTAATAGATTGTACAGAGTTATTTATAAATGAATAGATTTAAATAATTATTAAATAAAATATTTTATTTTGAAATAATTTTATATAAGTTTACATAATAATAATTAAATCATTTAAAAAAATTTTGAAACCATATAAACCAATTTTTAGGTGGAAACATAAATTATCTATTTAAATGTATAACTCTTAAAAATAACAATTCTAAAAATATTCACTAAAAATAGTATAAGACAATAAAAAATAGCTTTAATAATATGATTAATTCTCATGTAAGTTAATTATTTTTATATTTTAATACTTTATTTGTTTTATTGGTTTGTTTTTAAGATATTTTAAAGTTTTAGTAGTCAAAATAAAGTGTCAATGACTATACATAATTAGTGTGTGTGTATATATATTAGAGTGATTTAAGAAACTTAATTCAGGCTATCTATTTTTTTTTGTATAAATAAAATAATAATAATGAAAACAGGTTTCACCTATATTTTAGGATTCATTCCAAGAAACAATCTAATTTTAGAAAATAATAAATTTATAAGTATTAATAGTATATTAGATTCTTGGTTGCCATATGTTGGATTTGTTTTTTCTAATTTTAAGAAAATATAAAGATGCCAGGAAGTAAAAAATATGATGTCTACTAGAAAAAATATTTTAAAAATTTTGAGATGGTGATATATTGAATGATATATTTTTATTAAACAAAATCAAGAGAGTGACACATTAAATCGATTTGAGCTAACGATAGTTATCCTATAAAACTTGCGACTTGAGGCACAATATAATGATAACCTCATGAAATGCAAATCAAAATAAATTAGAAAATTCAATTCTAATCAATCAACTATTAAAAACAAAAAATAAAAATAATATTCAATTAAAAAGAAAAATCTAAAAAAATAACTTGAGTAAATCTAGATTAGTGACTTGTGCTAAGTCGTGAGTTAGACCAAATTTTTTCTGACATAAAAAAAAATGCTAAAGAAATCATAGTGCTTTTAAAAAAGTAAAACAAAAATTGAGACCATAATTTATTCACCTGAGTGATCTAATGAGTCGAATCAAATTAATAATATGATAATAAAAGAAAAAAAAGTAATGAAAATAGATAAATCAAACAAAAAAAATCATAAATAATTAATTATAAAAACCAACCAATCAATATTATACTTGCAAGAAAATGAAAAATTACTCATCAAATACTCATCGTCACTTTGTCCTGGAAAGAGGCTCACCAACAAAAAAAACTTATCAAGACACTTATAATGCTTCTATGAAATGTTACATGATGATAATGAAAGAGGATGTACGCGCTATAAGAGTAATGATCTAAAAAAATTAAATAAAATATTATAAAGTAAATATCTTATATTTATATCTAAGCAATTAATTTAACTTAATTTAAAATAATTTGAAAAAAAATAAATTTAACAAAGAATAACAAATAAAAAAACTTGAAAAACTTAAATTATTTTTAAAATTAGTAAAAAATCCTATAGAAAAAAAATAAAAAAATAATAAAGCTTAATATTCATTTAGATTAAATGATAAAGGATAAAACTAAAAAACATAATTTAAAAAAAAATCAACCAACTCGGGCGAATATCATAAACCTAATTAATCTCTTAAATTTATAACTCGTGAAATTTTAAACCTAAACTTATTCAAGAAACTTAAATCCCAAACACTTTAATATTGAAGGATAAAATAAAAAAGAAATATTAAATTAATTTTTTTTCAAAGATAAAAAAATAACAATAAAAAGAACGATGATAAAATCTGAAAAAAAAAATTAAAATAAAATTTTAATTTTAATTTTATAAATTAATTAAAATAAGAAAATAATAATTAAAAAAACACATACCAAATCTAAAAAAAATAAAATTAAATAGATGCTATGAAAACTTAAAAGATCGGAAGCGAAAATCAAGATAAAAAAATCAATCAGCATGAAGCCAAGGGAAATTAAGATGCATGCGCTGCTAAAGGATGAAGGTCCCGGCATGACGAGTCAGAAAACAACAAGAGAGGCTATTTTTTGGTAGCCATAAGTCGCCGCATGCATTACTTGAATACGGCTTACTTGTTAACGTGCACAACGCACATGCTAACCACTTCTCTTTTCTTCTTGTTCTTTTTTTTTTGGTTATTGCTATTAAAATACCAAATTATCCCTCTCTTGACCTAATAATAACAAAAAAAGCATGGATGAAAGTATGAAAAATTCCTCATAATCTAATTAAAGAAATTTTATTTTTGAGAAGAATTTAGTTATTTTATTATATTTTTAAAAATAAAAAATTAAAAAGTATCTCTAGAAACAACTGATTGTGTTTTTGTTTTAAGAACAATACAATCATTTTATTTAGGAAAAAAATTGAAAAAACTGCACTACACCCAATTATTTTTATAATGAACAATAATCCTCGTAAAAAAAAATCATCATCCCCTCTACCGAAACCAAAGATTTTTTTTTCGATTGACAAAATCATTACTGCACGATTTCAAACCACATTGCACTGAATCAATACTTTTTTCACACCTTTTAGGTTTTATTAATAATAATGTTAGCATGCATTAAGGTTATTTTTAATAAAAATAATTTAAATTTTTTAGAAATATAGTTTACATCATCACGCTCCCAAATAATCCAAAAAACTTTTAGGGATTCGCGTGTGTATGGATATAGTTATGGATTATAAACAGTAGAGTATTACTTATTATTATTTATTGATAATGATAAAAGTTATTTTTAAAAAATTAAAATTAAAAAAAATAGTGGACCTTAGTACTTAAACTTGGCTTAGATTCATATATTTAGAATTTAGCTATTTAAATTTAATCATTTAATATTTTCAATTTAGAAGGGCAGGCCTTGCTTTCCCGTTAAAAAGAAACCCAGCAGGCCATTTAATTTGAAACCCAGGCGAGTAATAAGCCAACCATACTCGAGCGGCTGTGCAGCAAAGCAGAGAAGTTGTTCTCTGATCTGACTGGTTAAACCAAAATAGCAATGGAGAGAGTGGTATTCTATAAATAAACCCAAACCATACTCGCATCCTTTAACCTCTCTAAGTATCATCTCTCTCTCTCTCTCTCGATCCCTAACTTCCTTGCAACCTGTTTTTCAATCCTCCAATTTCCCTCCAAAATTTATGGAAAATTCCCTTACTTGCTCTACAATTACCCTAAACCCACTAAAACCCTAATCTGCTGGCTTTCTTTTAGTTACTTCCTCTAGGGTATATCAAATTAATCATCCATCTACTCACAATTACTCTTGCTTTATTTTCCTATTTTTCTTTGACAATTGTCTAATTTATTCGTGGGTTTTTCATTTCTCTCTTGCCTATTGCAAAATTACCATTCCTTCGTTGAAATCGTTGCTTGGTTTTTAGAGTAGGGTTTTTTTTTTTTCGTTTCTGCTTGTTTCCTGAGAAAACTAGGGCAGAAAGAAAGAAAACAAGATTCTCTTTTCTTATGATTCTTCCACGTCGTATAATCTATGGTTATCTTCAAGAATCACTGGTGAAATGGTGGTTGATTTGAAAAAGCCTTGATTTTTATTGACATGAGGGTTCAAATATGAGCAATGGAGGTGAAGAAAATACACCGGGAAGACCCAAATCCGATGAATTTGGTCGTGCTGTTTCAAGAATGGCAGTGGCTCAGATATGTGAGAGTGTGGGCTTTCATGGGTTTAAGGAATCTGCTTTGGATTCTCTCAATGATATCACAATCCGATATCTCTGTGACCTAGGCAAGATCGCAAGCTTCTATGCCAATTTATCAGGTAGAACCCAATGTAATTTCTTTGATATAGTTAGAAGTTTTGAAGATATAGTAGGAGCTTCACAAGGGTTTTTAGGTGCGTCCATTTCTGGTAATTGTCTTGTTAATTCTGGTACGATTAAAGAAATTATTGACTTTGTTGGTTCTAATGATGAGATTCCGTTTGCGCAACCGGTGCCAAGGTTTCCTGTTATTAGGGTTAGAAAGTTAATTCCTAGTTTTGAAAGTATGAGTGAAACGCCACCTGGGAAGCATATTCCGGCATGGTTGCCTGCTTTGCCTGATCCTCACACGTATTTGCATACACCTATGTGGAATGAGAGGGCTGTGGATCCCCGTGCAGAAAAGATAGAGCAGGCTAGGCAGAGGAGAAAGGCAGAAAGGGCTTTGTTGAGTTTGCAGCAGAGGTTGTTGAGTAATGGCTCAGCAGGGGCTTCATCCTTGGGGGTCAGTAATAATGTGAAAGAATTGGGGGTAGTTGAGAGTAATCAATTTCTTGCCACTCCGTTGGAGTCTGGGAAGAAGGATGTCTCTCCAGTTGTGTTGCCAGATAAGCTAAAAAACCATGTTTCTGTGATGGAGGCATTTGCACCTGTCATTGAAGCAGCAAAAGAAGGCGGGGTTTGTGATGATGTAGATGTTGAGAGGAAGAGTCTTCCTGAAAAGAGGCATGCTGTGGCTTTTAAGTTTAAGACTGGGAAGAAGTTGTTAGGAGAGTCTTTGGATCTGAGTCTTTTGAAGAAGGGTGAGGGGAGAATGGCGCATTGGTTAGGGCGTGATGATGAGAGGGATGACAAGAAGAGGAGAGCAGAGTATATACTTAGGCAGTCAATGGAAAACCCACAAGAGCTTACACAGTTGTAAACTATTTTCTTGTCTGACTGGCTCATTCAGAAGTTGCTTTTAGTAGGGGCTATTGGTTCTCTAATTATTTCAGGGGCATATTTATTGTTCCTGCGTGGATTTTATGAGATTATGTTGTGAGTGTCCCGTGCGATCCTACTAACAATTTTTGAGGTATGTGAATGCTTATGTTTATGTTTACTTTAGCTTTAGTCTCAACTGATTCTTTGACGGTGAAGTTTGTGCTTCTTTGTTCCGTCATTAGATGTTGTATCATCACATTGAATTTTATTGTGGGATGGACAAAGTGTGCTCTTTGATTCTGGCTGTTATCGTCAATATTCTGTTTTTGTACGTGCAACAAAATATTCTGTTTAGGGTACAATGCATTTCCACATAAGCACCTTAATGCCATTACAAAATTTTCTTGTACTGGACATTTTATGCTTAAGTTTTTATGAGGGGAAGATATTGGATTTATGATGAAGGTCTTATCACCACCGTTGTGTGTGTGTGTGTAAAGAAAGTTTCTAATAGAAACAATTTTAGAAGGACCATTGTAACTCAAGAAGGAATAAACATAAAAAATATTGCTCAAAAGTTGATGATGTGAAAATTTAGAAGTCTTGTAAGATTGAATTTAAGTGGATGATGTTGTGTTAGATGAGGCTGTAATAAGTGCAGACTTACGCTATGTATCATGGGTGAAATTCCATTAATTTCTGTTCTCCATAGCAAACCCAATATCAAAAGTTTAACTACATGTAGTCGCTAGCATTAAAATTGGACTTCAACATGAATTTTTGCCCCTGCCCACAGTATTGTTTTTTTGCATGTATATTAATTTTTGGCTTTTATTGTAGTCTGGAGGAGCATGTTGATTACTACTAGTTCTATGCCATTTTGCCAAGATATCATAGAAAGCAATATCTTCATTATCGTTCACCCCTGCATGGTTTCTGTATCACCCACCAGTATAATTTTGCACCTGACTTGCTAACACATGAAAACCAGATGTTACTGTTGCATTTCTTAATTGCTCAACCTTTCTTTGTATCTAAAGTATCTAAAGGGCGTCAATAATAGACAAGAACAAACCAGAAATTAAGAATTCGGTAAAATATTAATGCAAAAAGCTTGTACGCAGGGATAATGATAAAAGGAATTGGAAATGTGTAGCAGATTCAATAAAGCAATTTCCATACCTAATTCAAGTCACTGACTTTAGGCCTTGATGCTCTTAGTACATACAGTTTGGAACCTAGGAGATGTAGAAGGTAAACTCTCTGCTTTCACACTGTGTGAAGAAGTTTGACTTGTGTCATCTTTCATGTCCTCCATTTATCAAATTAGATGCAGCAGGAGAGGAATTTGGATAGAATCACATGGCGACATGGTCATCCCTTGCTTTTATCCACAGTTAGACAACCCAGCTGGGAAATAAAAGCTGATTAGTGCTGCCAAGTGCTATGTCACATTATTTGTGCTATGAGATGTCTGGATTGAAGGGACATCCCATCAATCCAGACCATGCTCGTCAGTCTAATGTTGTGCTGCGGAGAACAATTTGTTTGACTTATTGTCAAATAACTCTGATGGCAAGTTTATTGCTATTCACAACAATGCGTGCATCTGGGCCAAATGATATTCTTTTTGTTATAGAATTAAGAAGTAATTGCTTGTGTGTATGTTGAAACAGTTACACTCTTCCATTATGTTCTATTCGGATTGCAGAGTGTCCTTATAAGCAACGAAGTAGTCCTTCTAAGCAACGAAGTAGTTATTTAGTGCCAAGGGCACTGGTGTTGAAAAGGGTTGAGCTGACAAGTATTTATTTGAATTCAATTCGCTGTAGATTTGGTCATTTTGGATGTTGATTCTTTTCAGGCCAGCTGCTTTATAATAACATTCAGGAGTTCAATTTATTTACAGTGAAAGTAGGTGAGAGAAACCCCAAGTGCGCAGGCAATGTTGATAAAATTGTAGCTTGTGCTTTTACATATAGCATTGGTTATTTGACTTCATTCATCAAGTTGCTAAAGTTGAAAAACCACCACTTCTCGCGACAGAGGGCGAAGATTTCAGAATCAAGAAACAATAATTTATATGAATAAAAATTCTTCCATGAGAATTGAGAAAGCCATTAATTTTTGCGAGCAGGACAACTCAATTCCTCCAGTTAATCAAACCCAAGAGGACCCTCCGACGAGTGCTTCGGAGAACAGGGGGGTCAGGGACGACGTGCAAAATGCTTGCTGTCAACCTTACAAAATGAATCTTCTTGCTCATGTTGAATACATTCCTTCTCTTCCCTCCAATCCAAACAATCCGGTTGCGGTGAGCAGAGAGTATTATCCTATCCTGGTACAAGAGGATAAAGTTACCCACTAAAACGGTATCCCCATGAAATCTTTTTGATTTCTCTGCATATCATCCTGGTGAAATTTCCTGTGTGCGTGGATTTGATCATAGAAAAAATATATGCAGTCAAGACAAAGTTACCCCTTCGTCATAATTCATCATTCAGATTCCACAAGCATGCGCTGCCTGGATTCAAATACAAAACTCTAATGCAACTGAAGAAAAAAACGCATCAACTGAATTCTAGTTACATGACTGTGATGAGAAATATAAGACCATTACAAATCCAAATGAAAAATCATAATTATGTAATCCCAATAACTTGACAGTAGCATTATTGAGTTGACGAAGTTCTCTTTCATAGTGTTAATTTGATTGAGAAAAATTGTTCTTCTTAAAAATGTTGGACGTGAACCTTCGATTTCTTAAATGACCTTAATGCTTTAATTTCATGTTGATTTCTGGAACGAATACTTTTCCACGATGGTTGAAGATCATGAAATCCAGGTTGTCTGGCAAAGAAACCATCCTGCATTGAAGAATTTATGAATAATGTCAATGGCCAATTATTTTGTAAAAATAACATTACAAGCAGTCACGTTAGGTGTAATTCACATCTCTAATGCACGAGAATCAAGTAACACCATTAATGCATGCCCTTTAAGGAGCACGAAATTTGACAGAGTATTTGGCCATGTTCAGCCCATTCCTAGTCTAGGCTAGACATATTTGAAGTTGATTGCCATTGCAAACTACAATGCAACACAATAACAAAACAAGCGTCCAAGCAGAGACACAAGCAATTAACATAAAACCATCTAAGATGGAAACCTATGGGGGCCGAATTCCACTAATCAATGAGAACAAGAGTGCTATTTCCACAAGGAATTTCCAAATAACACAATACAACCAATTGACAAGATATCCAACAGTGGCTCCATGACTAATAGCTTTTTGGAACACACCCAAGTGAGTACAACCATAAAAACAACCGCTGTGCCTTGGTCTAGAACTACCCAAACCCAAGAATGAGGACATCTCTTTTTTATGGCTTGAGGAAAAACACAAGCCCAAATACAAGGCTGACATGTTCTGGTCCTTAAACTGACCTGGTATCTCTATGCTCTATATTTTTTTAAGGGTTTACGTTGTCATCTATCACTTGCAACATCAAGCCTACATCTAAGTTAATCCAGCCCAATAACTCTAGTAGTAAGCCAAGAGGCCATTGCCACGGTCAAGGCTTCATAAAAATCAAAAGCCCTCTTGCATATCAAGCAAATTTTAGTTTGATTTAGTCCCTTGTAGTTTGAAATCTTCACTCAAACAAGCTTAACATTTACATGCACATGATTATGCTACCTAGGGCACACCGTAGAGTAAAAATATAAATGACAATGATGAAATGGTAAGCTACAGTTCAATGTAAAATTCCTAAGATATTTAATCATCAATCAGAATATATTCATGCTATATGAAGGTACAACAACCCAATTAAAGGATCCTTAAGGATTTCAATTTGTTCCTTAACTATCAAGTTATGATCTATAAGATACAGCGACCCTGTCCAGAAGACCAATTAATGGATCCTTGATTTACCATAAACTATGCACATCATGTGGCATGAATTAACAGGCATTGCACTTGAGACAATTATTGTGCCATGAACATCACTGGACAGCGATGGCAAATTTAAACAACAATTGTTCAGAAGATGAAAAGTCAGAAGAGATAAAACAATTCCACGGTTTTCTTCCACTCCATTTAGGAAAATTCAGGACCATCTCATGACTTAAAAAAGGATATTTTCCTTATAACTGCCAGAAACTATGCAACCAGGTAGCTAAATTATATCTAAGCTTGCCATTTTCAATATAAAGTGAAAATAACAACACTGTACACCATTTGTTTCAAAGAACAGAGTCCTGTATGGGTTTTTCAAAATGGAATGAGAATAGCATTGTATGGCACCCAAAGGAAAGAAGCCTCCAGAAATAAGTGTAACAACTCTAGAAATAAGTGTAACAACTTGCAAGAGTATGCAAGCAAACATGCTCTTGATGAACTAAATCACTTAAAGTTCTATAGCATGGGTTCATTTCTTCCAGCCTTCCATTACAAGATCTTTTACTTAATAAGCACGTTAATCCAGATACCATGCATCAACCAACTCAAGGAAGCTAGAAATAATTCAAACTCATTTCAACCAGAAAGGCGACTTTCAATAGAAGTTTACAACAGAAGGACAACACCCATTTCTATGGAAACCAATTTCAGTGGCTGTTTATTTTCAATCTAATACATAAAAATAAGACTCCTTAAAGCGAACTGATTACCTCATTAAATGACGCTCAAATACAAGAAAACCAGTCTTTATTATTATTATTAATACTACTCTCAATTTCTTAAAGAGTAATCTGACTGCTTGACATTTAAAAACAAAAATATTTTCAAAATCATTGCTTCTTTTCTTTCTTTTTTCAACTAGAAAGAAATCCAAATAGACAAAAATAAGAGCGAGAAATTAAAAAGAAGAAGAAGAAGAGAGAGAGACAGTAACCTATTCTCATCAGAATGTGGATGAATAGAGAGGAAGTTCCCAGGCACAGTTAATGCTGCCCACATACACAAAACCAGCCCCACAATCAATTCCACCACCACCTGCATAAACACCCAACCCAACCAAAACAACATAAATATATCTATGTGTACATATAGAAGGAAAAGAAGAGTATAGAGATTGGTATGATACACTGAAAGGAGGTCCAGAAAACTCATCCTCAGTAATCTTCAACAAACCCCGATCTGCACCATCATCATCCATCACGATTAAACAGGATTATAATTATAATAATAAAAAAAAAGCAAAAAAGATTCAGGAAGAGAGGATGGTGGACAAACATTGACTGGTAGAATAAGCGGCATGAGAAAGAATCAAGACTCCAACCAATCCAATCACAAATCCTACAGAAAAACCCATTTTTATTAACTATCTAATCTATCTGATCGGCACTGTGAAGTATACTAACTCAACCCAAATTGCTCTTCCTACCCTAAGTTAAGCTGAGCTAAGCTTTTCCGAGGGCGAGAGGTTCCCTTCAGATTTGTGTCTTTCTGTTTTTCTTTTTTTCTGGTTGTTTAATAAAGCAAACGACACGACGTTGTTTTCTGTCGCACGTTACCTAAAAAGCACCGTTTTTCGAAAATATCCACTTTGCCTCTCCCCGAGCAAATACGCATCGTATTACCCTCTTACTATTTAGTTTAATACTCCAAATTCTAATACAATTGCAATTGCGATTACAATAACATAACACACTTTTATTGTTGCTTTTGTCTTAAATCACTATGCATATGCTTTTTTATATCCATTTTTCTAACTTTTTATTTTAATTTTTTCATACTAATACTTCATGTTTGTATCAATTTATATATTATAAGAAATTTCAAATTTTTACACATTTAATCCTTATTGTTTGAAAATTTTATATTTAGATTATAACCTTTATTTTACTTTACTTGTATTTTGGTCCTTGTATATCAAGGGAAAAGAGAGGAAGTTACCACAAAAAATGAGAGGAGAGAAAAAAAATTTGCCGACCCTTTCAATAATAAAAAGAAATTAATTTTTATATTAATAAGTTTGTCTTAAGAAATGAAGTTTTATGAAGGTGATTTTGAATTTTTATCTTGTTCGGAAAGGTCAATCAAAGCTTTGAAAAGTTTTTTAAATCAATTTTTTTTTAATTGATCTCATAGTATTTTGAGGTTAAAAATAAGTTTAATTGACTTGTAATTTTAAGTATTTTAAAGTAAAAGTAAATTAAATAAGTTTTTTTTTTGTATAAGAACCCAAAACCTAACATTTTAACCTTCAAATATGACTGTGATTTGAACTAGATGATGATTCATTTTATATGTACAAGAACTACGCTAATCTTTTAAACATTTGATTATTTTGCATCTGGATTTTCTTTAACCTTAGTTAAGTACTACAAAGCTAATTTTTCTTATAAAGGATGATATTTTTTAGGTTGACTAGCCAAGGGATTTTTTTATATATTATTATTATGGGTGAATTGTTGTTCTTGCTATTGGATTAGTTGTACCAACTTGGTACAGTGTCATATTATTTAAAAGATTCACACTTAAATCTAGTTCGACCTAGAAGGTTGACTTGGAACTTAAGCAGCCCAAGGCCTTAGCCAAGTTTGAAGTAAATAAAACTTACACCTGTAATTGACTTAGTAAAACTCGAACAACTTGTCAAGTCAACCTGAAAATTAAGTTACCTTAAACAACCTGGGTGAAACCTTTTATTATTATTATTATTATTATTATTATTATTATATTTTTTTAATATACCAAGAAAAATAAATTTATGAATATCTAGCCTAACATTTTTTTTAGCATGTTTATGAACTTTTCAATATGGAACAAATGTATACTTATGGATTGTGTTATGTTTTTTCTCAAAGTGCATGAGCATTTAATATAACAAAAAAAATGTTATTGAAGACAAAAGGTATAAAAAACATAAACATTACCTCATGCATACGGGGGACAATCAGAGATGTTTCCCTTGGTCAACCTAATCTCATACATATGAACCTACCATCCTTTTTCTTATTGGCTACTAGCCCATGAAAAACATTCACTATATAGACATTAAAAAAAGATTTTATTTTTTTAATATGAGATTGAAAGTCCATTAGTATATATAATATATATTCATAAGAAAACAAATTGTATTTTTTCAATATGGGATTAAAAAACCTTTTTGATTTAAACACTTCAACTTAAAAAGAAAAGATAGTATCTTTTCAACATGAGGTAAAAAATATTTGTAAACTTTATTATTTAGAGCATATATAGCCCATATCTATATAGATTGTTTTTTTAATTTTTTTCATGTGGGATATTAAAACCTTAATTTTTTTTAATTATCCTAGGTTGACTCAGGTCAACCCATGTAATTGAGACTTGTTCGTTTGGTTTACTCAACTCTTGTTCTAGGTTTAAGTATAGAAACATTGGCAGCTTGAGTGCAAACAATTTCAATTTTTAATTACGAACTCTTTCACTGTTGGATCGAGCTAATATTTTGACACCAAATTCTAGATACATAGCTTTTCATTTTTTTTTAATGGTTGGATTAAATATTGAAGGTTTCCAAGTTGGTCATTTTGTCATAAAATAGGGCTATCAATTTTGTAAGGATTTCTCTCAACTCTCTCTTTAATCTTATTGTATTTTAAGAATAGGTTGTTTTGAAGATTTATATTTATATGTTATAACCCTTAGTTTTAGCTAAGAAAAAACACATTGTGATCCCATCATTTATTAATAGTAGAAGTTTTAAGGTAGCTTATAGTGCTATAGTTTTTCTCACATCGAGTTTTTCATGTAAAAATCTCGGTGTTGATTTGTGTGATTAATTGCTTAACTTTATTGAATGTTTGATCATATTTTAATTGCATTAAGAGAGGAAAAAATATGGACTTATGGATTATGAATTTAGTATATTGGTCTATTTTCTCAACATAATGGTATTAGTGCATTGGTTATGTGGATTGATTTTTCTATATAGTTAAAATGAAAATTTAGGAATTAGAAATCCAAAAAAAAAAAAGTTGTTAGAAGTATTGATGTAATCTTTTATGAAGAACAACCATTGAATACTTTCAATAGAAAGAGAAAATAAAATCTACTAATTTTATCCTTTCTAATTCGAATTCAAGGTCTATCATATAGTTTCTTTTGATGTCTTTTAATAATTAGAGAGATTTGTAAAATAATGATAATGATGGTTTTTTTTAGTTATTAGTTGATGATCATATGCTAGCTATTAATGATGATGATGATGATGATGATGATGTTATTCTTAAACATATTATTTAAGAAACCCTAGATAAGCCAAAGTTGAGGAGGTTCACTGGACCTCACCAAGCTTCTACCAAATATTCTCCTCATGAATATGTGTTAATTACTAATAGGGGAAAGCTAGAATGTTTTGATAAAATTATGTTACATGAGAAAAAAATGAGCGACTAAAATCTATCTAAAAATAGATGAAATCTTTGTATATGGATCATACTTTCAAGTTAGTGAAGATTTTTAAAGGAAAAAAACACTCAAGAACAAATAGGTGTATAGCTAGAAATGATAATAATGAGGGAGAGATAAAATATTTTGATAAAGCTATGTCACATGAGAAAAAAATAAGTGATTGAAAACCATTTAAGAAAAGATGAAATCCTTGTATACGGGCCATACTTTCGAGTTAGTGAAGCTTCTGAAAGGAAAGAAAACACTCAAGAACAAATAGGTGTATAGGTTAAAAATTAAAGAAAATCTTTTCACTTGTTGTCATGATGTCTTCTATCTGAGTTGTACTTGAATTAACTGTTAATTTGAATTTTAAAGTTGAATAGCTTGATGTGAAAACTGTTTTCCTCCATGATGACTTAGATGGGGAGATCTGCATGGAGCATCCTAAAGGGTTTGAAGTGAAAGGTAAAAAAAAACTAGTTTACAAGTTAAAAAAGAGTTTGTGCCACTTCTAATTATTATATGTTTATAAAAAGATTTTTAGTTGGTAACTTTAATATTCTCTTGTTATACGTGGATGTGCTGGTTATTAGCCACAATACTAAAAAGATATAAAGTTTGGAGGAAAAGTTTAGCAAGTCTTTTGCAATGAAAAATTTAGAACTAACAAAACAGATTCTTAGCATAAAGATTACATGTGACATTAAGAATATAAAACTTTGGCTATCTTAGGAGAGATATGTTTAAAAAGTATTTGAGAGATTCAGTATAAGAAAGTTCAAACCTATTTGTTCTCTACTTGCAAATCACTTTAAGCCAAGTTTTAAACAGTGTCTTTTAAGTGATGAAGAAAAAGATAAAATGAAGAAGGTTCTTTATACATCTATAGTTGATAGCTTGATATATGTCATGGTTTACACAAGACCATATATACATCATGTTGTTGGTATGGTCAGTCAGTTCCTCTTCAATCTTAATAAAGAACATTGGTCAATGGTGAAATGGATACTCATATATCTTAAATATATTTCTAGTTTTAGTTTATATTTTGGTAATGGTAAACAGGTGCTAGATGGGTGCACAGATATAGATATGACATGTGATATTGATTTTAAAAAGTCCATATCGGCATACTTAATAACCTTTATAGAGGGAAGTTTTATAGCAATTAAGCTCACCAAAATGTATTGTATTATCAATTACAGAGGTTAAATATATTACTATTACTAAATAAGGGGAAATAGTTGTTACGGATGAAAAATTTTCTTACATGAACTAAGCCTAATACGAGAGAACTTTGTGTTGTATTGTGATAATCATTATGCAGTCTATCTCAATAAGCATTATACTTTTCACTCTCAATCAAATCAAATTGAGGTTAAATATCAATTGATTCAAGATGCTATAAAGATGAAGTCATTTGTTGTTAAAAAAATCTATATCAATGATAATATGTCGAACATGATGACCAAATCTCAACCAAAAAAAAGTTTTGAGTTTTGTAAAAGGCAAACATCCTTAGTAGAACCCACCAAATTACAACTTATAAACTGATTGTCATTAAGATGAACTCCTCATATGGTGCATGAAAGGAAGACTTGTTATGAGTCTTGCACCATTTAAAAAAGACCACACACTTATATATTGTCATAACTTATTTTTGGGTTCCTCCCAATTACATTTTCTTCCTAAAAAAAAAATAACTGAAATAGTGCCCTCTTAAACGGCACTGTTCTTCTTCTTTCCTGCGCTCACCCTCTCTTTCTCTCTCCCCTAACTTGGCTAAACCAGGATACAAGTAACAACCCATACCCTGCCACTATTATGGAAGAAACAGAGGCGTTATGCTTGCAAATGGCCGACCACCTTACCTTGCAGAGGTAAGGTAGCCTCGCTCCCCCTGCACCACGATGGGATAGAGTAGGGGAGCTCCCTCTCCTTTTCTTATAAATAGAAGGGGAGGAGAAGGGAAGGGAGGATGGATTGCAAGAGAAGAGAGAAGTAACGAACGTTAGAGAGGAGGAAGAATTGTTTGCAAAAGAGGAGAGATGGTAGAGAGAGGAGAACGTTGTTGACAGAGGCAACACAC